GATCAAAGTGTTTTTCGTCTGATGAAAGATATGACAATCGTTTGTTGATTCCTGCCGGTATATTCTTTGTGATGGAGGGTGGGTGGTTGCTCTCTCTATGTACGTATAGTGGGTGGCTGTTGGGTTTAATATATGGATTGTAAGAGCTGTCAGTGAGGTTGAATGTGACGTCCAGGAAGTTGACAATATTTTTATTAGCTTCGATTGTGACTTTCAGACCGTGTAGTTTGAAAATACGACAGATGGCTTTTTTTATTCTTTCAGTTTCTTTGGGTGTGTTGTCTACAGCGGCTAAGCCATCATCTCTGTACAGGCCGATCATTATATATATATATACATTGTATATATATATGCTAGAACCCAATTATCTGCGAACCAAGTTTCAACCAAATTAGACAGCCTAAATTTGAGATACAAGCAGAAATGTGCAAAAAAAAAAGACAAAAATTCTTGATTTTTGTCCCCCAAAAAAATGGCTGACATTCAACTACATGCATCTTGGATTGATTGTATTTATCAACATATTGTTTGGTTACTAATTAATTAATAATTATTAATGCCAGAATTCAACACCGTATTTATTCAGTGCTATGCTATTAAGGGCATTCAAACAAGCATAATAAAATCTTATAATAATTTATTCTCAGCACAAAACATTAAAGTCACAATCATTAAGTATATTTGCTTAGTTTTGATCCATGTACATCTTGTTTTTCATTGGCATTAACTACTGTGACTGAGGTGAATATGTTTTTTTTCTTATCACCCTTAAAATAAGGAAAATTAAACAAATCTAATAAAAGTCAACCAAGATATATACATGTATAATAAACATCAAAGCAATCTGGCTTGTGCTCCATATCTTAAAACAGCACTTTCACCCAAAATGATAAAAATATTCACTAACAAGTAAGACACATGATTTGCCTTTTAGGACACAAAAGGGGAGAAGAAATAATGTCAAGTCAATGTAATTAAAAAAAATAGCATGGAACCAGTAGGTTTTGCACAGTTCCAGTTCTGTATTTAATGCTGAAGTCCATCTCTAGTAATAATCCAGAAGTGTTGGTGTACTTTTGGCTCTATATGATGTGATCAATAGCAATGTACTGTAATAGGCCAAACATATTTGGTTGAAATGCTAAACAATGTAACCAAAATTTACTATGTAGAATCATCAAAATCATTCAAGCCATTTCAGAGAAAGAGTTTTTGAAATGAAAAGTTTAACCATTTTCCCATACAGCTATAAATTGGATTGGATCGCAAAACAAGTTGCAGGCACATGTGTACATTGCAACTTTCAATATATCATATCTTTAGCAACTGCAAAGAAATGATTGGATATAAAACTAGCAGCCTGTCGGCTGATATAGCTCCGCTCTGAAAGCAATGACTATAAAGAAGCAATTTAAACTTAATGCTAGCTGCTTTAATATCGCAAGACACCAACTTTCTTGATTTTGTTGCAGGGAATATTTCACTAAAAGTAGAGAATTGAAGATATCTTTACGAAATGAACAAATCTAATAGAGGTCTACCCAAGCTGCATATGTACAAGTATCAAAGAATTTGGACTACTGGTTTTGAAAGACAAGTCAAAAATATGTTTTTGATGAAAAATGACGAAAATATTTGCTAAAAATAGAGAATTGAAGATGTTGACAGGAAGTGAACAAATCTGGATAACAATTTTGAAGTCGATAATATCATTTTTGAGCCAAAAATGACAAACCTATTTGCTAAAAATAGAGAATTCAAGATATGGTTACAAAATTACCAAATCTGACAGAGATTTACCCAAGGTACCTAGTTATAAGTTAAAGTTACAAAGAAATCAGATTAGCAGTTTTCAAGAAGAAGTTGAAAATAACATTTTTGACCAAAAATGACAAAAATATTCATCAAAATTAGAGAATTGAAGATTTGTCACAAAATCAACAATCTGACAGAGGTCCACCTGATGTACCTACATATACAATATCAAAGCAATCAGACTAGCAAAAATGACAAAAATATTCATCAAAATTAGAGAAATGAACAAATCTGAAAGAGGTCCACCCAAAGTACCTACATACCATGTATCAAAGCATTTGGGCTAGCGGTTTTCAAGAAGTCGAAAATAGCATTTTTGACCAAAAATTACAAAAATATTAGCTATAATTAAGACAATTGAACATATCCAAACGAAATGAACAAATCAGAGAGAGAACCACCCAAGGTACCTACATACCAAGAGTCAAAGCATTTTGGCTAGTAGTTTTAAAGAAGTCAAAAATAGCATTTTTGACCAAAAATGACAAAAATATTCGCTATAAATATCACAATTGAACATATCCACACGAAATGAACAATCTGATAGAGAACCACCCAAGGTAACTTCCTAGAAAGTTTCACAGCTATACAGTTTGTGGTTTTTAAGAAGAAGTTGAAAATGTAAAGCTGAACGACGGACAATCAGTAATACCATACGCTCCGCTCGACTTCGTCGACAGCGGAGCTAAAAAAATGGCCACCAGTTGTCTCACTCATCTCAGCTTCAAACAGTATCAGAATAGAGCAAATTTTGTGTTTCAAATTGCTGCTAGTTGGCTATTTTTGCTTGGATCATTAGGTAACTTGTTAGAAAAAGATCGACCAATGCTTGACCGCAAACAGGCTTCATATAAATAGTTCCCTACATATG